CAAACAATGAATCATGGAACACTACATCAAAAACTAATGATGTAATGTATGGTGATTAACATAACAATAAAAAATTTTTAAAAATGTGGATCTTCTAGAAGTACACCTTTTGGGGTCTAACTGAAGGATAACAGCAAAGTTAAACAAAACTAGTTAGAATCAAGATAGAATGCACCACCCCACTTAAACTATGGCAACAAAAGAAGATAAAGTACTCAGGAATGAGCCTAACCAAAACTGTGTAACACCAAAATGAGGATGGGGCACCTGGGTGCCTCAGTCGATTAAGGTTAAGTGGCAGACTCTTGATTTCAGGCCAGGTCATGATCTAAGGGTCCTGGGATTGAGCCCTGCCCACCACCCCCCAATCTGGGCTCTGGGCTCAGCAGGGAGTCTGCTTCAAGATTTTCTCTCTCCCTCTGTGCCCTCTGTGCCCTCCCACCCTGTTCTCTCTCTAAAATAAATAAATAAACCTTAAAAAAAAAAAAACTACACAAGGAAAATTTAAGAGCACAAAAGTAGACCTAAATCCATAGAAAGACACCATGTCCTTAGACAGAAAAACTCAAAATCATGAAGATATTAGTGCTATATTAATCTATAAAATTTATGTAATCCAAATAAAAATACAAGTCTGATAACATACTGTTCGTGAGGTTGTGGGGAATTACATAATCTAACCCACTGCAATCTTATTTGATTTTGCTGGTGGTTCAAAATGGTACTAGGTTGAAAACAAACAAACCAGTGGCTATGCATAAAAAGCACCTGAAGACAACAGAAGAAATAAATAATAGGAGGCAGGGAACCATGACAGAGGTGGGTGGGGCCAAGACTTCTTACTGTATACTTTTTATATCATTTTAATTTCTAAATCATGTATATACATATATATGTATTTTAAAGTACATACATATATGTTTAAAGACTGAATTTAATTCTAAGAGTGGCAGTATGGTACCAGTGAAAACATTTGGCTGGGAATTAGAAGAACCAAATCTTCCACTGCCCTACCTTGTACAAGTTCAATATGCTATGTGGGCCCCAATTCCCTCATTCAGTTAACCAGAGGCCTTTGGATTAAATAATCTCAAACACAGAAATTAAAAGGATAGGCTCTGAATACCAGGATTTGTATCCTGGTTCTAAAACTCAACAG